TTTTTTAACCAACACATAACTGCGTTTGTGCTGAACCTGGGCGTTTTTTTAACCAACACATAACTGCGTTTGTGCCGAACCTGGGCGTTTTTTTAACCAACACATAACTGCGTTTGTGCTGAACCTGGGCGTTTTTTTAACCAACACATAGCTGCGTTTGTGCCGAACCTGGGCGTTTTTTTAACCAACACATAACTGCGTTTGTGCTGAACCTGGGCGTTTTCTAACCAACACATAGCTGCGTTTGTGCTGAACCTGGGCGTTTTCTAACCAACACATAACTGCGTTTGTGCTGAACCTGTGCGTTTTTTTAACCAACACATAACTGCGTTTGTGCTGAACCTGGGCGTTTTTTTAACTAACACATAGCTGCGTTTGTGCTGAACCTGGGCGTTTTTTTTTTAACCAACACATATCTGCGTTTGTGCTGAACCTGGGCGTTTTTTTTTTAACCAACACATATCTGCGTTTGTGCTGAACCTGGGCGTTTTTCACTGACATATTGTGGTGTTTTCCAGCGGTGTTACAGCCACCAAAGCTGGGTATTGTTTACCAACACATCACCCGTTTCTTGGCAGCGTTCGAGCCACAGAACCAGGGTGTATTATAGCCACACATGGCATCATTTCCCAGGGCCCTTCCCAAAGCTTCACATGACATAAAAGTCCAGATGAATTTATTTTTCCTTTTTCTTTTAAAGATAATTTTGGCGGTTGTTTACAGTAAATAAACAATCAAACCAGGAACAGTGTTGTCACTTGGTGTGCAGCTCAGACCCTGAGGCCAGACCACAGTTAGTTTGTATCTCCGTGATGTTTCTGTCCCTCCACACATTACATGAGTGTTTCTTTTCTTCCCCTGAGCGTCCTGCGTACAGAAGACATTTCCATCTTGAGATGATCACTGACGCTTTGTGTGAAAACAGCCACTGAGCACTTAATAGATCCCCTGACCTCCAACCAGCCGACCTCCTACTGTAAATGAACATTTCCTCTCTGAGTCTGATTCTCGCAGAAGTCTCAAGGCTCCGGACCGCCGTCTTCGTCTTCCCTCTTCCTGTGAGGAGCTGATTAGTGTCGAGGTTGTAATTGCCTCTCGCTGGGTTGCAGACGAGCGCGGGGCTGGGTGGTTTTGACAAGTCTACTCGTCCCCCCTCGGCGCCGGGCGCTTTGTAAGGAGTTAAATTGGATGGTTAATTCGGGTGTTATTTACCCTGTAATTCATTAGTTTCGCCCCGCCATTGGCAGCGGGCAGGCTGTAATTTCACGCTTCGCAATAAAAGATGTCTCATAATCTGCTTCATTTAGCAGCCAAAGAATTTAATGAAATTAACTGCGGCCCTAATTAAGACGGTGAATATTAAAGACCTGCTATCAAGGCTTTAACGAGGGTGACACGATCCGCCTTCCGCCGGATTGGAAAAATATCATTTCCCTGGGAAAGGTTGTCACTGCTCGGAGCCATTTTGGCCATGATGACATTTTTGTCATGCACACTAACCCCTGGAAATTAGATTTTTCGGGGGGTGGAGGGGGGTTAAGGATGTGTTGGAGGGATGTCTCTCCCTTTTTAGTTTGAGAAATAATTAAAACAAGGAACACAGGCGTCAATCAAAGAGCATTTTTAGATTGTGCTCATTACGCCTCGGCGCGGCGGTCTCCACGGAGCGCTCGCGACAGTTTTTGTTTGGCACGGGGGTGTTGCTCCGAGCACGCTGGAAGTGTCCCTGCGGTAGCTTTGTTGTTTCACGCCGCGCGCGTGTTTGTGTGTGTTGTGTACACTCGTCTGATGACGAGCTGGACAAAAGCGAGCGGCGGTGACCTCACAGGGGAAGAGGACTGGCGTTTTCCTCACATCCTGTCTCTCTCTGGTCGTCAGAGTCGAGCGAGGGGCGAGGTTTTTTATCCACTAATGAATTGAGACTGCTGAAGTAAGGTTTGGATAATTGAGTTTCTAATTAATTACCCAGAACTCTTATCAGATAAATCAGCTCCTCTTCAGCCCCCCTCTTCTTCTGTGGTGTTTTATTTGATCTGGTCTGCGTCCTGCTCCCCTGGGCCTGCCCTTCGCCGTCCTTGCCTCATCAACGCCGACCTTGTCATGGAGACTGATGCTGCTGTGTGTCTGTCGGTGTGTGTGTGTGTTTTGATGTTAGTCGTGGGTTCGGAGCTGTTTTACCTCAACCGTGGCGACAAACTTGTTTATCCCTCCGTCATCCCCCGTAGTGACTGTCATCAGGTCGAGTGCCACATGGAAGGAGCCCATCCTTTAAAGCAGGAGACACTGGGAGAACACAGAGCTCCATCAAGGCTGCACCAGCTTTAAATGTCTGCTTTTAAGAAAAGAAAATTATCTTAAAAATTAGAAGCGCAGGTCAGGGACCACAAACAGGAAGATAATGGGACTCAAACACTGTCGCTCATCAGGAAATGATCTAAAATCCTGGGTTAAGATTTTACTAAATATGTAGAGATAATATCCTAAAATTTCTAAAGTGATGAAGTGAGAGCTGACTTTATTTACTGGAGGTGGAGGTGAGGGTGGATGGCGTAACACTGAGGGCAACACACCTGCAAAGCTACAGATCAGTGTTCAAGACTTCAAGACGATAAAACCAGATGGTTTTTTGCGGGTACGTCTTCATTGTGCCACTGAACGTGGGCGTTTTTTAGCAACCCGTTAGCACCTGTCCAGCAACTTTTGTGCTGCCAAGCATCGGTGCATTTGAGCAACCTGTCGCCTCTTTCAGTGGCTTTTGAGACACTAAACTTAGGTGCTTGTTCCTCAACCCATTGCAGCTTTTCCAGCGGCTTTGTGCTGTTGAACGTGGGTGTTTTTTAACAGCTGTTTCTTCAGCAACGTTTGTGCCACACAAGACCTTTTGTGCTACTGAACGTTGGTGTTTTTTAGTGACCCCTCGCCACTTTTTCAGCACCTTTGTGCGATTGAACGCGGGTGTTTTAAGCTAATAACCAGGTAGTTTTTGTGCCTACAAACGTACAATGCCAACAGTTTTTTCTGGCAACTGAGTTGACTTATGACCCTTAGTGTAGACTCAAGAACACACAAGACGTATTTGTCCATATATTTGTGTAATTCCATGATGCAAGACTGTCTTTCATTCTAAGAAGACGAAGAACAAATATACCCTAAAAAGGCAACAATAAATCTGAGCAGTTGGAAAATGATTCTAGGAATTAGAAAGTATTTTCAACGACCTTTGATGAGGGGTCACTGTAGAAAATGTAATTCTAAGGGGTCACAAGCCGAAGAGTAGTCGCCACAGTCGGTATGCAGCGTTCAGCAGGTGATGTTTACCTGAAGTCATGTAGCAACAGTCTCTTTCTTTTATTCCCTTTTTCCCGCCGTGATTAGACAAGCGAGTGTTCCTCTGCCCTGATCTCAGACTCAACACAAACACAACACACTCCTCTCCATCTAAGAGGATGATGGATGAGCTGCGATCGCTGCTCAGGCCGGATCAGATGGAGATAGAGGAGGGAGCGTCCGGCTTCCCTCCCACCAGCCGTCACCCCCTCCACTCCGGAGGGTGACACCTCTAATTTAGCCTCCTGCTCTCTGGGGACGTCGAAGAACAAAAGGTCTCCGGCCCCCTTTTCCACATCGTCCCGGGTCTTTTCCACAGATAGTGCCTCCCCGTATCTCCTCTAACATCCGCTGTCACTCCCTCGGAGAGGCCCGGGGAGAGTCCATTGTCCGAGGAAAATAGGGGGGTGATTGAGTGATTAGAGAGTAGATTAGTCTGTATCAATGGACAGGCAGCCTCCAGGAGGAAACAAACCTTTAAAGAAGTTCCTTTATCAGACCGTTTCTTTCTTGTGGCGCTCAGATTCACACAAAGGAAGGTAGGTGTTGCTGCGAGGACGAATTTAAGGGTTTATTTTCGTCGTTTTTAAGGGTTTTACCTCGTCGTACAATCCACAACTTCAACAAGATGAAGGAGAAAGTTTGAGCAATGTCTCCTTTCCCATAACATCCGTGTTTCCATCCAACATTTCCCTCCTCTGACATGGTCTTTAATCAGACACCCTCAGGTATGAGCCCCGCGAACATCTTTTCGGATGCGTCGTCTAACGAATGACTTCATCTCTCGGCTTCCCCCAAGCTAGCGACCTTTTCTTAAGCACTGCGCCACAATACTTCACCAAGGCGCAGAAGTGTGTCAGTATGAGAGAAGAGGGAGTGTGTCCGGGGGAGTTTTGTGTTTTGGGGATCCATAACTCCATGCCTTGCCTCTACCTGTGCCTCCTGTCCCACGTCAACACCTTCACTTGAACACAACTCTTTGTTTTGATGTTTGAAGACGAACCCACAGTTGTGAATCTCAGTAATGCCCTCGGATGTTTTCAGATGCCTAACAAATGACTTCATCTCCCTGCCACCCCCCGAAGCTGGCGACCTTTTCCTAAGCACTACCCCACAATACTTCACCGGGGCGGAGAAGTGCCGTGGGTACAGCGAGAGGAGAGAGTGTATCTGAGGATGTATTTATCTCCCCACATCTATTTTCCCATGTGGAGACCTTGTGAGCTGTCATGGCTGCCACCCCCCACCCCCCCTCTCCCTCCCTCCTGAAGGTAAAATAAGAGGCGACGTGTGTGTGTCATGAAGCCCGGGGAGGTGAATAATGAAAGATATTACCCATCAGGAGGGTTTCGACGCGGCGTTCAATTAGCCTTCCCCTCGAGCAAACTGATCGCTTGTCATCCCCTGGATGGATGGCCAAAATTAATTTGCTGACGTCTCCCTCCCCAAATACCAGGTTTGGACGGGGAAGAGCAAGAAATTTTCGTTCAGCCGGTTTAGTCCAGGCCTCGACTCTCCAACACTGACCTCTTGTTCACTGTTTTCTGCAGTTTTAGATTTGGTGCGTAGGGTGCAAAAACTGGTGCTGTAAGAAACAGGAAAGCATCACACTCATCTCAAGTTCTGGAGATCAGTCCCTCAGAAACACTCGTGTGTAGCAGCATTTATTCATTCATTCATCATTCAAAATGTTTTTATATTTTGTCAGGTTTTCTGCTGAGGTTGTGGCTCCGTGCTGACTTCATCTTCAGGCGTTGTAACAAACACTGGTTTCTAAAAGTTGAAATAAAAACATAATGACAGGACATAGGCGATGATGGCATGATGTAGGTGATGCTAGCCAGAGGTAGGTGACCACAACAGAATGTGGGTGATGATGGCACGACGAAGGTGATGATGGCAGGATGTAGGCGATGACGACAGGACATAGGTGATGACGACAGGATGTAGGTGATGATGACAGGATGTAGGTGATGATGACAGGATGTAGGTGATGATGACAGGACATAGGTGATAATGACAGGACATAGGTGATGATGACAGGATGTGGGTGATGATGACAGGATGTAGGTGATGATGGCATGATGTATATGATAATGACAGGACATAGGTGATGACGACAGGACGTAGGTGATGATGGCAGGATGTAGGTGATGATGACAGGATGTAGGTGATGACGACAGGATGTAGGTGATGATGACAGGACGTAGGTGATGATGACA